TTGACTTTAATTGTACTAATTTGACTTCGATTTAACTAATTTGATTTCGATTTCACTATAGTTGACTTTAATTGTACTAATTTGACTTTAATGGTACTAATTTGACTTCGAAATCACTAATTTGATTTCGATTTCACTATAGTTGACTTTAATTATACTAATTTGACTTCGATTTCACTAATTTGATTTCGATTTCACTATAGTTGACTTTAATTGTACTAATTTGACTTTAATTGTACTAATTTGACTTCGATTTCACTAATTTGATTTCGATTTCACTATAGTTGACTTTAATTGTACTAATTTGACTTTAATTGTACTAATTTGACTTCGATTTCACTAATTTGACTTCGATTTCACTAATTTGATTTCGATTTCACACTAATTTAATTTTGATTTCACTATAATATATATGTATATACAATACAATATAATTGACTTTATATGTTTATATGTAATAATACACAATATATACTATATAATGTATATTATATATATATATAATATATATATATATATATATATATACTGTATAATTTAATTTATATAGTTTATAATTTATATGTTACACTTTATAGTTTATATGTTTATACTATAAAAAATCTTGATGTTGAAGAATAAGAATAAATGTTGCGCAAGACTTTCAGCGATAGCCTAGTGTGGCCCAATGGTAACGAGACGCCCCCAGAGATAACGGACTCACTCGAACCCGGGTTCGAGTCCCGAATCTGGGATCCTTTCTACAATTTTTTGACATTTATAAAACGGATTCCAGAAATCCGTTTTTCGAATAATTAAATTTGAAAAACGGATTCCTGGAATCCGTTTTACAAATAAATAAAACCAAAAAAAATTCTTCTTCTTCCCTACGCGAACAGAAACCAAACAGAGAGAAGAGAGAAAGAAAAGAGCAAGAGCTTGAGGGAGTTCGGGAAGAAGAAAAAAAAAAAAAAAATTCCGCCCGTCGCCATCCGCCGCGCCGTCGCCGCCTACTGCACTGCCACCGCGCCTCCTTCCCGTCTATTAGGTACGTTTCTTCTATTACTCTTTCATTTTTTCAATTGTTTCAATAATTTTGAATTAGGGCTAAATTTAGGGTTTTTAATTGTATTGAGTTATGGATTGAAATATGTTGATGGATTGTTTGATTATATATGTTTGGTGATAAATTCATTGGTTATTTGAAAATTGATTAGGGTTTGTAGTTTGTTTGGAAATATATGATTCGAACGTGTTCGATAAAATGCCTCAAAGGGATTGTTGTACATATTGTTGACATATTGTGAAATTGTGATGATTGTGATGAGGTGAATTTAGTTGTGAATTTATATAATATGTTCAGGGATTATTTTGTCGGAAGTTGAATTGTTGGAGTCGAATTGTCGATTAAAGATTATTTTCGAATTATTGTGTATATGATTTTTAAATTTGTGCATTTATTGTTTGTTTCATTTATTTGTGTTTTTGTGATTTTTTTTTTTTGTGAATATAATTGTATTATTGTAATTTGATTAATTATTGTTTTTTTTTTATTTTTTTGTAGTATGTAGTATATCATATTAATTATTTTTCTTTTTTGGCAGACAATGGCATCTTCGTCGTCCTCACTACTGCAGCGCTTCAATGTACATCCCGGTCCGAGGGATCCGTCCGCTCTATATCTTCAGTACTTTTACCGGTCGAGTGATTTGTTCGAAGATATAGGCGGATGTCGTGACGGCGTCATTAAACCCTGCCGTTTCGACACTCAGTTCTGGAAGGCGTTGGATCACCAGCATCCCAGAGTTTGGGATGTCATCGATAGGACGGGGTTTGGCCCGCTGTTTCGAATGGGCAGAGTCATGACCGACAACAGCCTCGTCACGTGTCTAGTGGAAAGGAGGCGACCGGAGACGCATACCTTCCACTTTGACTTCGGGGAGGCCACCATCACGCTGCAGGACGTACAAGTCCTTTTTGGTCTCCCGATCGATGGAGAGCCTTGTTGGGGAGCGTACAAGTCTTTTTTAATTTATAATGTTTAATCCATTCACAAATTTTTAATATATATAAACCACTCTCAGGATGCCAACGAACCGGTTCAAGACCCCAGGACTTGGGCCATTACAGGCCAGTATTTGAAGGCCTATGCGTTAGAAGAGGAGTGCAACCGGCGACTAACCGATGGAGAGAATTGCTTCACCTAAGAGTCGAGGGCGAAGACCCTTATACTCTGGTGCATCGGTTCCTTCTTCTTCCCCGACCAGAGGGGCAATGGAGTGAACCTCTACTGGTTGCAGCTTTTGCACGACATCAATCTGATCATGACGTACAGCTGGGGTTCGGCGGTCCTGGCCGGAGTGTATAGAGCGCTCTGCACGAGCGCCAAGTCCGGAGAAAACTGGATCAAGAACTGTGTCCAACTGATTCAGGTAAATTTATTTGCTTGTTATTTCAAAATTCATTTTTTTTTTTTCTAATTTAGACTAATATCTAATAACAAATGAATATGTCGATATGTGTAGGTTTGGGCATATGAACGTATCCCTCGTATTCACCCAAGAATGAGGGATACGAACTTTGAGAGAGTCCCTGGTTGTCCCCTAGGTGGAAGGTAATAAAACTTATTTATATTTAATATTTACTTTATTTCTACTATTAAATTTTGTGATTACAATTTTTTTTTTTTACTGTAATTTTTAAGGTGGGTGGGAAGGAGGTGCACAACACACCTGGGCAAGGGAACATCCACCACCCGGGATCAACTGACAGGGCTCACTGAGACGGATGTAAGATTATTATTATTATTTTTATTTGTTGTTTGTTTTAATTTTTTTATAACTTAATTCCTAATTATTTTTTTTTTATTTTTTATTTTTCAGTTCGAATGGCTACCCTATCAGTGGCACCTGGAATGGAATGCTCTCCCGGCCCAGTGTACAGAAGGTTCACACCTCTGGATGTATAGGGGGTGGATCTTCAACTGGAACGTCCGTGAAGTCCATATGCCTGATAGGGTCCTCCGTCAGTTCGGGTGTCCGCAGTCCATCCTCGAACCTCCTATCATTCCGACTGAGACCGAATATCAGAGACACCATCGAGGCCAGAGAATGACCGGGAGGGCAGTTTTTGACTAGGTGGCCTTTCACGGAGAGCTTGGGAATGCTTGGGTCGAACATAGAGACGAAAATGTTATCCCAACATTCCCTGTGGAGTCATTCGTTGACCCTGAGGCGGGTTACCTTGATTAGTTTCACAGTATCACTGTGAGACTACTCGGTGACCCTGCCAAGTACGCGGTGGCCCAACCGGACAGAGGCTTTCGCCCACTTGCCGAGCAGGGGAAGTGCGACGTAAGTAATATATATTTCTGTTTTTTATTCTATTAATATTATTATTATTATTATTATTATTATTTTTGGTTTGTCTTTCATTCTAATTGACTTTGAATTTAATTTTCAGACTACCGCCATGGACGGAGCTTATCACACGTTAACGAATGTTGACCACCTCTTTCATACACTCCCTCCAGAGGTGCAGGCCGCAGTCTTACAGGCCAAGAGCCTTCTCTACAGTTCTATGACTGTCGGAGGCGGAGACGTCGCACAAGGGCCGTCGTCGAGCCAAGTTCTCTTGCAGGAGAGCTACGTCCGATCCCAGAGGACGCAGTCACACCGGGCGAGGCATCGACCTGCTCCTAACATTGGTGGAGGTAGAAGACGACGCGACCGCCAACCCGCTGCCGACCCCGTGCCTCAGGAAGAAGAAGAAGAAGAAGAAGGTGAAAATTTTTAACTTAACACAAAAATATAATTTTATTTATTTTTTGTGATTTTTGTTAAATCGAATTTCTAATTTCTTAAAACAATGAATTACTCAGTTGGAGAAGAAGAAGAAGAAGAAGAACCTACGACACCTACAACATCATCTTCTTCACGACCACCACGGCGTCGGGTTGGCTCCCGACCGCGGAACCCTACGAACCGATACACTCCTAGTTAGTTGTGTTGTATTCCGGGAATTTTGTGGACATATATATTTATTTTTTTCTTTCTTCGTGGATTATTAGTAATGATATGTGGACATATTTGGATTTTTATATTTGGACAATGAATTGTTGTGCTTCATTTTTCTTTCTTTCACGAATGGATTGATATGAGCTTGTGTAATTAATATTTGGTTGTGGAATCGATCTCGATTAACAAATGTGATTTTGTATTTTTTCTGTAATTTTTGCTGTTTCTGCACAGTAAAACGTATTTTCAAAATACGTTTTTTTTTTAAACGTATTTTAAGAATACGTTTTACGGTGCAAATTAGGGCAAAATTCAATTTGGGACTAAAATTAGGGCGAAATAAATTTAGGGCTAAAATTAGGGTTAAAAAACGTATTTCAAAAATCCGTTTTACATTTTTAATTATTATTTTCTGAAAAATTTAGTTTTCAAAATTGTAAATATTAATTTTATTTACAAAACGTATTATTGGAATACGTTTTATAATTAAAAAATAAATATATAATTATTTTTTGTTATAAAACGTATTCGAAAAATATGTTTTGTATTTTTTTTAATTTAAAAACGTATTCAAATAATACGTTTTACCATATTTTAATTAACTTAATTACGTTTATTGCGTTAATTAATTTTTTTTTAGGAAAACGAATTCCTAGAATACGTTTTACTACTAAAAACGTATTTCTGAAATACGGTTAATCCTAAAAAACGGATTTGTGGAATACGGTCTTTTGGTTTTTTTCCACTCATTTATTTTTTTTATTTTGTCCACTTTTTTTTTTTAAATAAATAATAAATTCTTGATTTAAAGCTCGAAATATTTTTCATCTATCAATTTAAAATTTTGTATTGTATGTAAAACGGTTGGAATTGGAATAGTATCAGATCGCCTCTTTATTCCTCAACTGAATCAATAACCTTCTTTCTGGAATATATAATTATGATATACACATTTCCTCTATGGGTGCATACTGAGCCGACGATGACTATGATTACTTGTTCAAGGTAGTATTGATCGGCGATTCCGGCGTCGGAAAATCCAATTTGCTGTCCAGATTCACCCGCAATGAGTTCAGCTTGGAGTCTAAGTCTACCATCGGAGTCGAGTTCGCCACCCGCAGCATCCGCATCAATAAAAAAGTCGTCAAGGCTCAGATTTGGGACACGGCTGGCCAAGAACGGTATGCCTTTTATTTCGAATATTCAAATCAAATATCAAATCACATTGTTAGACCTCACTTTATGGTTCCATCCTCTGCCATCACCCCAAATGCTGATTTGCCTCTACATATTTGTTTATTTAGTGGTGATTGTTATAATTTTCTTTATCCAGTGCACTTCAGATCTAACAAAAATGAAATATATGTGGTATCTTAGGTAGGTAGGCATGTCATACAGTTCTCTTGGGGCAGATACAGAGCCAAAATCTAATATATAACACCAGTCATCTAAGTTTATCTATAGCCACAAGGAAATATCTCAAGTCTCGAATATCACATTGTTGAATACATTTATAATTATCCAGGGGCGAGCCAGGATTTGAAATCTATCCGGGCTAGAATTATTTAGATTAAAAAACGTTATTTTGAATTATCTTTTACTAGCATGATTTAAAATTTCAACTTATAAGCCTTTAATTTTAAAATTACTATTAATAAAAGCAAAACACACAAAAAGACAACCATGTACTAGATGTGAAAAGGATAAATTAATAACTAAATTCTAAAATGTAATTTTCTGTACATAAATAATAATATGTATATCTTCAAATAATGTTTATTAAATTAGCCCTAAAATAACCTTTTTTTATGTCAAAATAACCTTATAACAATGGATATATCAATGATATAATTTATGTTGAAATGATTCCTACGGAAATTTCAACGTTTCTATTGGATTTATAGGTGGAATGTGATGATTTCAACGACCATTTTGTGATTTGTATAAATACTGGAATCATTTCAACAGAAATTCCAACGTTTCCATAAGAGTTTTAAATGGATGTGATGATTCAAATGACTATTTTTCTAACGGTTTTTTAACGTTGGAATATGCAATTTCTGCTGATATTTTGATTTCCATCTATATTTTAAAATCTACTGTTGGAATTTTCATAATCGCCAACAAAAATTCCAAAGAAAAACTCATTCCAACAGATTAGTTTTGTTGGAATTTCCGTTTGAATCCAATAAAAATTTTTAACGAAAATAATAGCAATGGAAGGTCCATTGCAATTGTCGTTTAAATTCCATTGAAATATATTTTCGTTGGAATTTTGTGTTGCAATTTCATAATTTCTTATAGTGCGTATTTGGTAATGATAGGTAATAAATAGCATTAAAAAGATATTTTTTTACATTCAATATGAATGTCTATTAGTAGATTATAAAAAAAAATTGATTTTTAACTCATAAGATAAAATGTGGAAAAAAGAATACGTATACAACAAATGATTAATTTCAAAAATTGATTAGATGATAATTAAAATATATGATGTTGTGTTATTTATTTGTCTTGTTGGACTTACTTTAAGTTTTTAACTTTGGAGATACAGGGCATAGAAACAAAAAGTGGGCTACTAATATAAATTGACTTCATTTTTGCCTACAATGTTAAAAAATTTTCAAACTTTACCCGGGCTACAGCCCAGGTGTCCTTTAATGTACCTCCGCCCCTGTAATTATCTAACCGAAAGGGAATATCTCAACAGTTTTAGGTGCGCAAACTCTTTGAGCTTAGAAGGTAATAGGTTAGGCACATATATGTGAGTGGTTCACTGAACTTGTTGCAGATTATAAAACCTGAACATTGCTCTGTGTTGATCAATCCATGTAGAGATCATATATAATAAAATTGAGGAAAATTGCCCCCTTCTATTCTTGTGTAATTGTGCTATGGGCTTGCCTCATTATTATCTTGATTCTTGATTATAAAGAATAATAAAATTACAATTGAACCACAGTTATTTTATGAAAAACAAGACTAAGTCAGGACTGTTGGCTGATTTGCTAAAAGTTTGTAAGGGCACATACCGATGCAATTTGGAATAACTGATATCAATGTTGTTGTTATGTTTTCATTCACTCTTTATTGTTCAGAGTTGTCAATAAAAATTGTTACTGAAGATATTCGGTACTTACTGAATGAATTCATGGTATTTATCTAGAGAGCACTGAGTATTTGAATCCTGGCATGTCTGTATACAAAAATATCAGCTCAAAAAGAGTTTTTTTTTTTTTTTTTTTTTTTGTTGTTAGTGGGACTTTGATTTTATATTAAAATAATACTTAAAATAAAATAATTAAAGTTGATTTGATATAAAAGTAGGAGAGAGATCATATGAAGTGATAGTTAAAATTATGTGCGTGAATGAATAGTAAATTAAAGTTGATGTGATGTGTAAGAATAATTGGTTGGTATTATTTAATTATATTGATAATAGTGAGGTTGAGTTAAACTTGAGTATTAATTGATGCAGATATCGTGCAATCACAAGTGCTTACTACAAAGGAGCTGTAGGTGCATTGCTGGTGTACGATGTGACTCGGCATGTAACGTTTGAAAATGTGGAGAGATGGTTAAAAGAGCTGAGGGATCACACAGATTCGAACATCGTGATCATGCTCGTGGGCAACAAGGCCGATTTGCGTCACTTGCGGGCCGTCTACAGAGGATGCTACAGCTTTTGCCGAAAAAGAGAGGACGTTTTTCATGGAGACTTCTGCCCTCGAATCAATGAATGTCGAGAATGCATTCACAGAAGTGCTTACTCAGATACATCAAGTTGTGAGAAAGAAAGCTCTCGAGGGTGGGAATGATCCAGCGGCTTTGCCTAAGGGTCAGACCATCAATGTCGGCTCTAAAGACGATGTTTCGGCTGTAAAGAAAACTGGCTGCTGCCCTACTTGAAGAATGAAGAGAGAATGCTCTGTTTTCTATGCATTGTTGGATGATATCAGTGTATACATTGCGGGTTTTGCTTCACATTTGACATGCTTTGGAATTTTATTAAATGGGATTATATTTGAGTGTTTTCTAGTATGGACGGACCTTTAGATATGTAACTGAAATTAGGATGATTCTTGTACCCATATTCGATTGTCATTCCTTGCCTTTTTAGTAGTTAAATCGATTTTGGACTATGTTACTTCATTTCTTCCCTTTCCTTATTTTTTAATTCTTCATTGCTCGGAATCTATAACCGAGGAGCCTTCGAAATAATTAATAGTAATGCTAAGATCCATTGTTATTGTTTCCAAGTTGGTAGTTTTAGTGACAGACGCCAGGGATCTCTTTTAACCTTCTATTGTAACTAGTAAAGTGCACGTGTAGCAAATATGTTTGTCCGATTAAGTGTAGTAAGATAAACTTATTAATTTATTGAACATACACAATAAAATGTATAGCAACTGAACTTTCAATGTATTTTTTTTTTCAAATGTAACGTAATGATGTCGTAACATAAAAAGATTATATTACAATTCAAACAAAAATATATGAAAAAAGATCCCTAATGGAAAAACACTAACAACTAGTTAAGAATCTAATGTATATTATAAATACATGAGTTCTTTTATTTATTTATTTTAGATTAAACAGTGATTTTCTTTCATTTTGGTTTTGAAGTTCTTTTAAAAAAACATTCATACTCGTTGGAGCTCAATATTTATATAGTATAGTAAAATTCTTCTTAACTAGTGTGTACCCCGTGCGATGCACGAGAACAATATTAAATTAACAATATTATAAATAGACATCGAGTTTGAGTCATTCAATGGCGGAAGTGGAAACTACTATTGATCCTATTTAAAAAGAGGAAGAAAAAAATAATTATAAATTAAAGAGGAGGATAAACAATACTTAATAATTATAAATTAAAGATTCGGGGTCAAACAATGTAAAATTATTTTGTATAAGGGAATATAAAAAAATTTGATTACACACCATTTCAAAATTATTATTATACTTTTTTGTATGGTTAGCTTATAATATTTGTAAAAATATTAGTAATTAGACCGATGAATTAGCTTCTTAAAGTAGATAATGGATTTTTAGTAGTAATTATGAATTGATTTATATTTTTTTTTTTAAAGATAATGGATTTCTAGTAGTAATTATGAATTGATTTCTATTTTATTTTATTTTTTCAAATCTTTATAAATAAGGGATGAGATTTTTTAAACACGTGAGACGTATGCAATGAGATTTTGTAACAGAAGAGATAAGCAATGAGATTTTGTAACTCGTGTAGATTTATACTAAAAATAAGAAAAAGAAAAACAAATATTTATTGTCAAACAACGGTTTTCATAAACTAAAAAACAGGAAAAAGAGAAACAAATCTTTACACAATTAATGAACCGATTTTTTTGCCTATTCAGATTTGTCTAACAATTACTATATATAGAATATATTTAATGATATTGGCGGAAAAAAGTTTCTAAATTTGTAAAAAGGTTATTCTTTTTATAGAATGATAGATTAATTTACCAAAATGTCTGCTTTATTTAACTTTTAGAAATATTTTAGTCAAACATGTAGTCAAACTTCATAATTGTATGATCATATCATAAATATACAATTTAATGACAATTTTTTGTTCGTATTCATAACTACAATTTCCTCTTTCCCCTCACGAATAATTAACCCCTCTTTCCCAGAAGCCGTCGATTCAAGCCTCCTATGTGCCTTCCCCAGCAGTTTGCCGGCCATCTTGCCGGCGGATGGCCCTTTGTCGCATACCCTTGTCTCAATTTCGTGCTATTCCCAGGCTATGAGCACTGGTGGAGGAAGATGGGCGCTATTCGGTCGGATCTCGCCGTATTCTGGTCATCGATCGCGGTTGTGTTTGTCGACTTCTCTGGTCGCGTAGCGGGGCTGGGTGGTGGCGTGTGGTTGGGGGTTGTGTGTGGCCCTCGTCGCTCGAGCTTGTTGTTGGCGAGTCGGCGGGGCTGAGGGGTTTGGTTTGAACCGCTATTTCCTTGATCCCTTGGTGTGAGGGTTAGGGATGACCGGCACTCTCGAACCTTGGCCAGTGGTGATGGCCGGGTTCGGGATGGTGGTGTGTGAGGGGGTCTGGCCGTTGCTCTAATGTCTCACATCCCTACATGAGATTGAGTCCCAGTTATCTGCGTCGGGTACACCCCAGAACAGTGTGGCAGAATGAAGGAACAGGACTTATGGAAATGGTTATGACAATAATGAGTTATATCTAGTTTATTTTTATCGAAGCGGTAGATTGAATGAAACTGAACAAAATGTACAAAGTTCGACGGCTAAATAGCCTAACCCGACCGAAGTCAAATCTGAGGAACACACGCAGGTGCCCTAAATCAATACCCAACCTAGAAATAACTAGCAGCCCGGCAGAGCAATAGCATCTGAACCCAAGGCAACTAACGGAACATGAAACCAACAATGATCATCAGACAAAAGACAGCTAAAATACTAGACCAAATTAGTAGATATCTATCCAAACAACAGTAAGAAAAGCAGCACAACCTAAACTTAAATTTCAACCACTAAACTAAAGAACCTAGTTGATCCTTAAGCCTTTAGTCCCTGCTGTTTTCATATTCAATCCATTCATTCAATGCTGCCTCCACTACATCCCTAGCTGGTCTGAGAACATTTTGAAAGACCCAGTAGTTTCTCGATTTCCAGATCCACCAAAGGAGGTAGACTGTGAGGCAAACTCTATCATTATTGGTAGGATTTTGTTTGAGATAGCATATCTTATTCCACCAAACTTTAAAGCTATCTTTGTCCTGTTCCAGCCCATCCCAAGTGAGTGGAGAAAGAGACCAAATCAATTTAGCTCTAGAGCATTGAAAGAACATATGCTCCATAGTTTCAGGTGCCTCCCCACAGTTTTTGCAAATGGTATCCAAGGAAACTCCTTTTTTGAAAAGGTTACAGTTTGTTGGGAGGAGGTTTGAGTAGCTCTTCCATAAGAAGTGCTTCAATTTACCTTTAACTGTCAAACCCCAACTTCTTTTTCTCACTCTCTTAGCAGTTAGGTGCTCCCAGCTACTCTCAGGGTTATCCATGTGACTCCATTTTAGATGAATGAGTTTATGGTATGTGGAAGCCACTGTAAAATCCCCTTTGGAGTTCCAGTCCCAACAAACCCTATCTTTTTCTGTAGGTTCCAAGCTCTTGATAGCTAAGATGGCTTCAATCTCATTCTCACTGAATGTCTCCTTAAGAAGCTCAACGTTCCATCTTCTGCCAGTACTATCAAGCAGGTTCTCTACCAATTTGATTCTAGAGTTTGCTTGTAGGGTTGAAGGTTTAAATCCTGGAAGAGAAGGTATCCATGGATGTTCCCACACATTGGTTGATTTCCCATCCTTTACTTCATGTCTGAGCCCTTTGACCAGTGTTTCCCTTGCCCCCATCCAGCTGTTCCAGAGCCATGAGCCTGCTTGTGATTTTTTAGCTGTTAGGATTGTGCCATGTGGATAATATTTAGCCTTCAGTATTTTACTCACAAGCAAGTTAGGTTTGGTGTAGAGCCTCCAGAGCTGCTTTGTTATCAGAGCATTATTGAGTAAATGGATATCTTTGAAATTCAATCCTCCAAATTCCTTGGGCACAACAAGTTTATTCCAGGATTTCCAAAAAATGCTTCTTCTCTTGTTCCCAGAGTTCCACCAGAATGATGCAAAAAGCTGAGAAATTGAGTTACACATGGTTTTGGGCAAAATAAAGCAAGACATCACATATATAGGAAGAGCTCCCAACACTGCCTTTAGAAGAACTTCCTTCCCTGCAGTAGTCAAAAAATTATTTTTCCAGCTTTGGATTTTTTTTTTCACACTTTCAGTAACAAATGAAAAGGTCTCAAGCTTGGACCTGCCAATTCCCAAGGGCAATTCTAAATATTTGGAAGAATTGTGATGGGATATGCCAAGGAGAGTTTGACAAATAACATTTTTGAGGGAAGAATCACAGTTCCTACTGAAGAAAACTGTAGATTTCTGGAGGTTGACTGTTTGGCCGGTAAAAATTTGGAACTGAGAGAGAATGTTTATAAGTAGCCTAGCATGCTGGATATCTGCTTTACAGAAGATTAGTGTATCATCTGCAAAGAATAAGTGAGTGAAAGCAGGGCCATTGTTGCTGATTTTAAGACCATGGAAAAGGCCATATCTGGTATATCTTTTAATGAGGTTAGACAAGATTTCAGAGACAAGGATAAATATGTAGGAAGACAAAGGGTCTCCCTGTCTAATACCCCTAGAAGGAGTAAGATATCCTTTAATTTCCCCATTAAAATTGAAAGAAAATGAGGCAGAAGAGATACAGGCCATTATCCATTTAATGAAAGAGGAGTGAAACCCAAGTTTAATCAGAATTTTCCTAACACAGTCCCATTCCACCCTATCAAATGCTTTTGACATGTCAAGCTTCACAGCCATGTAACAATTTTTACCCATTCTATGCCTATTCAGAAAATGAATGGCTTCATTTGCAATTATTACATTGTCCATGATTTGCCTATCAGCTACAAAAGCAGACTGATTAGCACTGATGCATAAGGGGAGACATGGCTTAAGTCTTTTTGCAAGGATTTTGGCAATAACTTTGTAAGTAACACTGCAAAGACTTATAGGCCTATATTGGGAAATTGTTTCAGGGTTCTGGCATTTAGGAATAAGGGTAATCAAAGAATGGTTTATGCTTTTTAATAACTGACCGGAAGCAAAGAAGCTTTGAACTAAAGCACAAAAATCTGATTTAACAATATCCCAAAAAGACTGAAAGAATGAGGATGTCATACCATCTAATCCCGGAGATTTGTTGGTGTCAATGTTGAATACTGCTTCTCTGATTTCCTCCTCTTCCACAGCAGCAATAAGTTCAGAGTTAAGGTCAGGGGTAATCTTGTGCTGAATCTCTCTCAATAACTCAGTACCATCCACTTGCCCTTGTGAGGTGAATAACTTGGTATAGTAATCTTCCAGACACTCCACCATATCCTCTTTAGTTTCACACACACTGTGGTCCTCTTTGACCAGCCTTGTGATTTTATTCTGAGCTCTTCTTTCCTTAATGCAGGCATGGAAATACCGGGTGTTTTTGTCCCCATTTTTAAGCCAGTTGTTCCTAGCCTTTTGTTTCCAGTAAAGCTCCTCGGAAGCATTAGCCTTATCCAACTGAGTTTTGAGATGATCCCATAGTGCCCAGTTCCTCTCACTCCACTGGTTGTTGAGCTCATTCAATTGTTGATTAAGGTCTGCTATTTTGGTATAACTCTCAGCTTTGAACTTACTGCTCCATTTGAGAATTTCTATCCTCATGCCCTTGATTTTCTCCTGGAATTTGAACATTGGGGTGCCAGTGTAAGGTTTGTCCCAGGCTGTTGCAACTATGTCCTTAAGACCATCTCTTGCCAGCCATCTTTTGTCGAAGCAAAACCTTTTCTTGACTGTTGAGATTCTAGGGTCGAAGTTTATGAGAAGAAGTCCATGATCTGAGCAACTCCTATGGACATTGGTAACTTCAGCTGTGGGAAACTGTTGATGCCAACCCAGTGAACTGAAGATCCTATCTAACTTCTCCTGGACAAAACCCTCTCCTTCCCTTCTGTTCCCCCAAGTGAATTTGTGGCCTTTCATATCAATCTCAAGGACCCCCATCTGAGCTATGAAGTCCCTAAATCCTTGCATTGAAGCTTCTGATCTCCTTCTTCCCCCTTCTTTGTCAGATTCCCCCAAGATGTCATTCCAATCACCCCCAATAAACCAACTCTCCCCCCATTTTTGCTTAGCCCCCAGCAGGTATTCCCATTGAGCTTTCCTCAGAGCTACATCATTGCTCAAATAAACAAAAGCCCCCCAAAAACTAGAATTCTTACTAAAATCCCAAAAGTTAACTTCTATACAAAAGTGATTTTTAACCAGGCTAATAATCTGGATAGATGAGTCCCAGCCTAAGAGAAGGCCTCCGCTTTTGCCCAGTGGATCAACTACTACCCATCTATCCCCCAAACACAGATTTTTACAAACTGTTTTAACAAATTTTTCTTTTTTTTTTTGTTTCTGACAAAAATATAAAAGCTGGGTGGTGGAGCCTACCAATCTCCTTGATTTGGGAAACTGTAGAGGGCCCACCCAGCCCTCTACAATTCCACACCACAGCCTTCATTGTGGGGTTGGGGGCCCATTTGGGTTGGCCGCCATCACCCTTTCATTCTCTATTTTCTGTTTTTTAACTGCCTCTGTGTCTTGCTCTGTGGTATCCTCATCTTCAATGCATTCTGGTGTTTGGGAAGCAGATTTCCTCTTGTTTTTGTTAGCTTTTAAATGCTGACTATGTCCTCTCAGAATAGATTTGGGGAGTGTTCTTCTCTTCCAAGTTTTCAGCTTTCCCTGAGTTTTGCTCTTAGCCTGATTTGTTAGGTTGTTATCATTCCCTTCCTTCATGATTAATTCCTCCACTGGTTCTGATTCTTCCATTTGGAAGTGTATCTGTTCGGTCTCCATATTGGTTTGAGGGTTTGAGTTATTTTCTGGAAATGGCTCTATCTGGTTGTTGGGTGTAATGGGATGTTGTGAGGTTTTGTTAACTGGTATTTGGGGTATTGAAAAAGGTTCAGAGTGGTTGGTTATCTGTTTGGCTTGATTCTGGGGTGTTGGGATCTGTGAGGATCTCGTTATGTACAAATCACGAATTCAATAGCAAACGTAAACCTATGCGCAGCGGATCTAAAGGTTTGACGTAGAGAACTTACGGCTTAAAATTTATGTAGATCTGGTTGACCACGAACGGTTGACCGCAATTGATTGACCGCAACACGCGTCTTGGGTTGCACGAACAAGATCAGATCAAAACTGGATCAAACGGATGCAAACAGATCAAAACGAAATTTTGCTGCCAGACACCTTCCGGCGGCGCGTGAGGGCGCGTGCGGCGTCGGATTCCGGCGACGTCGGCGGCGATGGAAAGCTCTCGTCGAGACGGTCGTCTGGGTATACTGTACGTCTCAATCGGACTTCCGGTTAGTTCTGTAGGTCAAAATCAATTTCGTCTCGGTTTACCTACAGATCTTCTACTGTATTACTCAATACACCCTTCTTCAACTTGTACCAGTGGAGCAACAAGAAGAAGATAAAGCTCGAATGAGATCTAGAGAGAGAGGCGTGTTTCACGTGAGAATGAGTTCTATTCTCTTCTCATGAGCTTAATGATGTATATATAGAGCTACAGTAGGGACCCTAAGGAGATTAGGAAAAGGGCTCCTTAATTAATTAGACTAACTGTGGGCCAAACCCACTCCTCTAATTAATTAAATAATATTAATGGGCCACCAACATTATATTATTGCACTCCCTTTCCCTAGCCCAAATTACATTTGAGACTCCAATAATAATTACTCGATTTACCTCCCCACGTTTAAGATATAATGTCCATTAATTAATTCGATTACTGACAATCAAGAATTAATTAATTTATTATTATTTCACCGAAGCTAGCGCTCGTTCATCACATTCTTATTATGCCGGAATTTAATCCACCTGCAGGGTTTAGCATAACAATCCTTCATGAACTCACTCCGGGGACATCATCAAACTAACGCACATGGTGACCGTAAATATCCTAACAGCACATCCTATATATAATAATATTACCCAAAACAGTAGGAATATTAATCCAGCGAACTGAACCTCACCCATGTGAATCAAAGTAATATATATTATATATATCTGCCTGTTTAATATCTTACGGGTTAAGAGAACGCAGTAATTAACCGAGGCCTAGTTCATTTACGACGATCAGTATAAAATGAACTTCTCCTCTCTGGGATCCTGTTCAATACATAAATGTACTAGTGCAACTAATCAGTCAAGACAAACTGTACAGTTGACACTACAACCGTTCGGATGGGGTGTTCATGTCCATCTAGGTTGTGAACAACTATTCTTGTTCGCAAGTGACTGATAGAGTGATCTTCGGTTCGCCCGATGACGACCCACCCTATCTAAGTGCAGAACAACAGAACGTAGAACTTGTTTAATCTAACATGATTCTCATTCATAAAGGGTAAATGTGTAATAACATGCAAAGCCAAGCTTTCAGTATATAACACTAACAATCTCCCACTTATACTTAAAGCTTTCGCTTTTACAGTATAGTCCTATCAATCCGTTATTCTAAAAGACCTATGTCGATCCTATTGCCATGCATCCTCTGATGCAATCTTGGCAACATCAACGTCTCCTCTACCAACGATATCCCGAATCAGATGGTATTTGCGCTCTATGTGTTTGCTTGCCCTGTGGGCTCGAGGTTCTTTTGAGTTCGCTACTGCTCCACTGTTATCACAGTACACGGTGATACCACGTGGCAAACTCGGTATAACCTCTAAGTCCACTAAGAAGTTCCTGAGCCAAACTGCCTCTTTCGCTGCCTCTGAGGCTGCTATGTACTCGGCTTCCATGGTGGAGTCTGCCACGCATTTCTGCTTAGCACTCCTCCATGAAATGGCTCCACTTCCCAAGGTAAACACATAACCTGAGGTTGACTTACTTTCATCCCTATCTGACTGGAAATCAGAATCACTGTAACCCAGAGGTAACAAGCTGTCTGCACGGTAAACTAACATGTACTCCTTAGTCCTTCTCAGGTACTTGAGTATATGCTTCACCGCAGACCAATGTTCCCGTCCTGGATTACTTTGATATCTAGCTACCATGCCAACGGCGTAGCTAATATCCGGCCTTGTGCATAGCATTGCATACATGAGACTTCCTACTGCCGAAGCATAAGGAACTGTCTTCATCTCCTCTATCTCCTTAGACGTCTTAGGAGACATCTCCTTAGATAAAGGTATTCCATGTCTAAAAGGTAACATACCTTTCTTGGAATCCTGCATGCTAAATCTGGCCAAGACAGTATCTATGTATGAAGACTGGGATAAGCACAACATTCTCTTCTTACGATCTCTAATGAGCCTAATACCAAGAATGTGTCCTGCTTCACCTAAGTCCTTCATATCAAACTGCTTAGACAACCACACCTTTACGTCTGATAACTCCTTCTTACTGTTTCCAATAAGCAGTATGTCATCTACGTAAAGCACAAGAAACACCACCACGCTCCCACTGATTTTCTTGTAAACACAATGCTCATCCGGACATTGAGTGAACCCGTACGACTGGATCACCTCATCAAAACGGATGTTCCAAGATCTCGAAGCTTGCTTCAGTCCATAAATAGACCGATTAAGCTTACACACTAGATGCTCACGACCTTCAGCAATGAATCCCTCTGGTTGCTGCATATAGATGTCTTCTTGCAGGTTCCCATTAAGGAAAGCTGTCTTGACATCCATCTGCCAGACCTCATAGTCCATATGAGCGGCTACAGCCAAGAGAATCCGAATGGACTTAAGCATAGCTACTGGCGAAAAGGTCTCATCATAATCAATACCCTCGATCTGGGTATAACCTTTCGCAACAAGCCTAGCTTTAAAGGTTTGCACCTTCCCATCCAATCCTCTCTTTCTCTTATAGATCCACTTACATCCAATGGGTCGTACCCCATCGGGTAGTTCTACAAGATCCCAGACCTGATTGGAGTCCATTGACCCCATTTCAGCTTTCATTGCAACATTCCATGAATCTGCATCTTTATCTTGGAGTGCCTCATCGTAAGTTCTTGGGTCCGATTCTAGGCCTCCTGGAACTGAGTCTGACGACTCTCCAAGACCTATCCATCGGTCGGGTAAATGAGAAACCCTCCCACTGCGACGAGGCACTGTCTGCACTGGTACACTCTCAGTGTGTCGTGTTGCAGTATTATGTGATGTATCTACTTGCGCACTCGGTGGGGAACCATCGCTTTCACCCCTTAACTCCTCTAAGACTAGTCTACTCGCGGGCTTATGATTCATAATATAGTCTTCTTCCAAGAATCTAGCGTTCGTCGAAACGATCACCTTCTGATCCCCGGGACTATAAAATAATCCACCTTTCGTTTCCTTGGGATAGCCTACGAAAACTCGTGCTTCCGAACGTTTCTCCAACTTGCCAGGTTCCTGCACTAACACGTGTGCAGGACTACCCCATACCCGAATATGTGAAAAGCCTGGCCTACGCCCTTTCCACAATTCGTAAGGAGTAGTATCAACTGACTTCGATGGAACCAAGTTCAGAATGTACGATGCTGTTTCCAGCGCCATTCCCCAAAACGAATCTGGTAACCTCGAATAACTCATCATAGATCTAACCATCTCCATAAGTGTCCTATTTCTTCGCTCTGCAACCCCGTTCTGCTGGGGCGTGCCGGGTGCAGTCAGTTGGGATTCAATCCCAGCTTCCGATAAGTATGTCCTGAACTCTCCAAAAAGGTATTCGCCACCTCGATCAGAACGAAGTGACTTGATACATTTACCATGAAGCTTCTCCACAACTGCCCGATACTCCTTGAATTTCTCAAAGCATTCGGACTTGCGGTGCAACAGATAAACGTACCCAAATCTCGAGTAATCATCTATGAAAGACACATAGTACTCGAAACCTCCTCTAGCCTGGATCGACATAGGACCACACAAATCAGAATGAATCAATCCTAGCACTTCTTGGCTCCTATACCCCTTTGCCGTAAACGGCCTCTTGGCCATCTTACCTTCTAGGCATGATTCGCAAGTTGGATAGTGCTCTTCCAATGGACCGAGATGTCCACTGGCCACTAACTTTTGAATCCTCCTAAGGTTGATGTGTCCAAGTCTAAGGTGCCACAGATATGCTTGATTCATCTGCGAAGACTCCTTCCTCTTATTAGATGTAGTTATGACATTATTCAATTCATTATGTTGCACTGTGGGAGAGTTCGGTTTGAGAACATATAAATTGCCAACTAATGAACCACAACATATGAAACGATTTTCAAAACGAATAATAACCATGTCATCAAACGAAACTGAAAAACCATCCATAACGAGTTTAGAAACTGAAACAAGGTTCTTTCTAAAACTAGGAACATAAAGGCAATTTCTCAAAACCAAACTACTACTATCGAACGATAAAGTAACGTCTCCCACTGCAACAGCCGCCACTTTCGTAGCATTGCCCATGTAGACGGTGATCTCTCCCTCCCTAAGTCGCTTGGTTTCCTGGAACCCCTGCAAAGAATTGCAGACATGATCAGTGGCTCCAGTATCTACACACCAGGTTCTGGTAGATACAACCGCTAAACATGTTTCTACGACATTAACGAGAGAGTTACCTTTCTTGAGGAGAGGGCAATCGACCTTCCAGTGTCCTGACTTATTGCACTTGTGGCATCTTCCTTTCGGTTTCTTTGCCACAGCCTGAGGGGTCGGTCGTGGGTAAACCGGAGCATCCTGTGCCTTCACCTTTCCTGCAGACTTCTTTCTCTTCCTGCCCTTGTGAGGCCTGGAAGGTCCAGCCTGCTCGGCGACTAGCACCCGAGGTGCTTGAGTGAATAAGGCCTCCGCCGACTGTAGCTCTGCAAGCAGTTC